TCCTTTGAGAAAACAACCTTCACCCTCTCCACTGCAGACTCGTTAAGGCGGCAGGTTCAGGAATTGAACGAATGAGTAGCCAGGAGTTACTGGATTTGAAGACTTAGTTAATCGACAAATATTTATTAAGAGTCCACCAACTGCCGCAGGCTCCCGCCTTTCCCCTCCCGCCCATGTTCCAGGGAGCGTGGAGCCGACATCTGTGAAGACCAACCATCACGCGAGAAATCCTACTCTGATGTGTCTGGTCATCAATAAAAACATGGTCTCTAAAGGTATAGGAGAAGCGTTAGCTATCTCGCTTTTGCCTTGGGAGAAAGAGGAAGCGCAAAGCTGTTTGGTCCCAATCTGACAAGGTGATGCCTCAGATTGCCGGACCCTGGTCGGCCTCCACACAGAAATTACGAACTGACTTTTAGGTTGGAAAGGCATAACCGTTTTTCTTGGAATCAAGAGTCTTGGGAAAGCATTTGCTTCTGAGAAGCAAATCCTGTGGTCTAGCAGGCCTTTTAGCAGAGTGCAAGGCCAGAGGCCTGACCCAACAGGCCAGGTTCTCCCAGTCTGCCTCCAGAGTTCAATGAGGGAGGGGAGGTGTTGAGTGCGGACAGACTAGGAGGAGCCAGGGACATCGCAAGCTCAGCCCTGCCTTGGGTGCTGACAGTGAGCTCTAAGATTATATAGGGAAAGGTCTAGGGCTCCCAGCAAGAAGTATTTGTAGGCAAGCAGTCTTGTCAAGCTTGCTCTGGATGACCATTATCTCAGCTACTGCAGGGTGCAATTTGGGTCAGTCATGAGATGACAGCTTCCTCTGGAAGGCCAGAGGTGTCAGTCTCAGATCCCATTGTGGGATGATCTGCATGCAAGGTCCACTAGGCCTGGATTGGAGTTGAGCTGCATTAAGAAATGCCTTAGAGAGAGATGGGAAAAGGTGGAATCTGTTAAGACTGGGTGCCCCTTCAGGGGATGCCACAATTTCAAAGGAATCCCCAGGTAAGATCTGCACCTCCACAGCCTCAAATCAAAGGAATTAACCCAGAATTTCCAAACGATGAGCTTCTCGACTTTTTGCTGTTGCTACATTGAGCCAAATAGCTCAGATGGCATGGAGGAATCTCATCAAAAGGCAGCATCCACCTTAGGTCTAAGGTGGAGTTTGAAATTCTGCATTTCTAATAGGCTCCCAGGGACTGGGGACCCTTCTTTTGAGACAGAGACTTTCTGGCTAGTTTTTGAAATAGGTTTCCAAGCACTACAGCAGAGCATATTAACTTTGTAAATGGCTTAAGGTGGGCATTATGGGTTTATTTTGTCATTAGTATTTTTTGGAAAGACTGACATCTCTCTCTATGGTATTAAATTATTTCAAATTTAGTGATTTACCAATAAATATGTTCGCTCAGCTGTTGTGACAGGAACAGGTCAGGAAACTAGGGATGATTTACCGCATGGTCTCATATGGTTGCACTCAAGATATTCCATCATGGCGACAGTTGTCTACATGCTAAAGGTCCGCTTCTAAGAAGGCTAGTTCACAGGGACCTTGGTAGGGACCCTCTCTGTGGCGTTGCTTAAGTGTCACTGTGATGTCAGCTGACTTTCTCTAAAGCAAACGTACAAGAGAGGAGGTGGAAGCTGTGATTCCTTTTATGATTTAGCTTCAGAATTCATACTGTCTTTCCCATAATACCCTTACTGGTTAGGCAAGGCAGCTCTGCTCACTGTGGAGAAGACACACAAGGGTGGGACTCCCAGGAGGCTGTGACCCTCTGCAACACCTTGAAGGCTGGTTTTACAGGCTCCAATTATTTAATCACTAGGACTCTCATGTGCACATGTTTTCTCATTCAAAGATCCACATAAAAGATCTGACCTTTTAAAACAGTGCATATAATCATCTGAGAGTCATTTTGTTTTATTTTGTTTTGTTTTACTATGATGTGCTGGAGATCAAATTCAGGGCTTAATGTGCCATTATTTTAACATGACTTCCTAATATTATACCCCTAACTTAAATAAAAATTACTGCTTTTCAACAAAGGTAAGGAAAAAAGAGAAAATAGTTCCAAATCTTAGCCATTTTCCTGGTCACTGGAACAAACTACCTGAAACCTACAACTTAAAGGAGCAGAAGAAGGGCCTGGCCAAATAGCTCAGTGGATTAAAGTGCCTGCAAGAGGGTGCAAGGGCTAGAGGTTTGATCCCCAGGCCTGCCATGCTGTTCCCACCCCCGAGGCATGCTGAGAGGGTGATTGAGACTGGCTATGGTGGCACGCACCTGTAATCCCAGCACTTAGGCTGTAAACAGGAGAATCACTACAAGTCTGATCTAGTAGAGAGACCCTGAACACCCTGTAGACTCTTCCCTAAAATACAAATAAATAAATAAGGAGCTTAGGAGAGGTTCATTGTGGCTTACCGTTCAGAAGCTGCAGTTCCTGGCCAGCTGGCTTAAACACAGAAACAGCATGATGGTGTTGCAGGCAGCCAAATTAGATAGAAATATTATAGGAAGTCAGACAGGGCCAGGCTAGTAAGGAGACAAGATGGAAGACAAGGTGACTTTACAACTGGGAAGAGACAGACACTCCTATATGGGCCACACCTGAAGACAGAGACAAAAAGGAAACACAGCTCCATACTTCCCTAGAGATGGGCATTAGGGATTGATATCCTAAATAGGTATCAATCACCTTGAAAGAGCCCAAATGAGTCACTAGCCCAACCCCCAACAGGAAGAGACCCTGTTCCATATTCATGCCCGCTTGCTACATGACTTGCTTCCTCATTTGGTCCTGGATTTAATCAATTTTACCTGAGCAATGGTGCTTGTAATCTCATTGGTTGACCAAAGTTTTGTCCCACCTCATGCCCAACTAAGAGAGTTCCCTTGTTCTCCACCACCTTAGACCTGCCTCACCGCATGGTTTTACAATATAACAGTCCCTGGAAGAGATAACTTCTGGGGGACTTACCTGCTCAGGCCCCCTTCTTGTCCCTCTCTCAGATAGGAGCTTTCTTTCCCTCAATAAATATATTCTGCTCATAATCTCCGTTTGTTCCTACAATTCATTCTTCGGTCTTAGAGAACGCAAATTCGTCCAGGTCAGGTCGGGAGATCGTTTTTTTCCCTGTGTCATTTGGAGGTTCCCTATATCATTTGGAGGTCACCCACCCGAGATCAGTTTTTCTCCCTGTATCAGTGGAAAAATCTGGGCAGAGGAAAGCTGCTCGTGACATGACGGAGCAGCCTGGGAGGGAGATGGAGTGACCTTTTTGGGTCATGGTCCTGTTGTTACAGGCAGCTGAATTAGATAGAAATATTATAGGCAGTCATATAGGGCCAGGCCCTAGAGGAGACAAGAAGGAAGACAAGGTGACCTTGTAACTTGGAAGAGACAGACACTCCTGTATGGGCCAGACCTCAAGACCAAGACAAAAAAGAGGAAACACACCTACATACTTCCCTAGGGATGGGCATCAGGGATTGATATTCTAAATAGGTATCAATCACCTTGAAAGAGCCCTATTGAGTCACTAACCCCAACAGGAAGAGACCCAGTCCCATATTGCCTGCTTGCTAAGCCTGCTTGTTACATGACTCACTTCTCCATTTGGTACTGGATTTAATCAATTTTTACCTGAGCAATGGTGCATGTAATCCCATTGGTTGACCATAGATTTTTGTCCCATTTCCAGTTCCCATTTTCTCTACCTTAGCCCTGTGTGATTTTGCCCTATAAAAAATAACCTGGAAGAGACACCTTCCTGGGCAACCCTTTCAGGCCCCCCTTCTGTCCTCTCTGAGACAGAAGCTTTCTTTCCCAATAAATATTCTACTCTCGACCTCCATTTGTTCCTAAAATTCATTCTTCAGTTTTAGAGAACACAAACTCGTTCCAGGTAACTTTCAGATCTGGAGATCATTTTTCCCCCGTATCACTGTGACCTCCCTACGTGTCACAGCCACAGCTACTTGCTAACAAGTCAGCTACACAACGTGGTCCAGTCCATGGTCCAGTTTTCCTCCCAAATCCATGCCTTATGAGCAACAGAGGCTCTTGAGATATAAACAACACTTGGTTTTAAAAAAAATTCCTACCTTTTTCATTTGTTTGCTTTATATATCTAACCTGTGTAACTCTATAAGAATTAAGATTCAAATCATATAAGGTGGTTTATACATATAACCTGAGCACTCAGAGTCTGAAGCAAGAGGTTCACAAGTTCAAGCTCGGCCATGGCAGTATAGTGACTTAACAAGACCCTGTCTCAAAATTAAAAATAAAGGGTAGGAATATAATTCAGTTCAATCCTTACCACTGTCCTCCAGAAAACAACACAATTACTTTTCATAAGCTATTTATTTAATGAATATGATATATATAAAGACTCCCCCCATAAA